TTAGGGTTTTTTAGGGTTTACAAGGGTTTAGGGAGTTTAGGGTTTACAGGGTTTAGGGTTTAGGGTTGAACCATAAGAAGAAACCCTTCAATCCGATCTCCTCCGATTGCAAGGCCCTGCAGCTTCATTACATGGAGCTTCTTTCTACACTCAGGATCTAGACGAGCTTTCAGAAAGCGCATGCACTTAAGCCTGCCTGAAGGCCTAGGCCGCAAGATCCACACTTCAAAGCCCCTTCCTCCTGAAGTCTGACTCCTGAACCTCAACCCCCAAAGGCCCTAAACCACCTGGCTCCCCCACCTTAGACCCCTGCAACAGCCCTCCGACTGTTTTGTAAGCCCATATCATTAGTAATATTGTTCGCCGATAGTCCTTGGAAAAATGTGGTATCACGGCCTCAGCCAAGAAACCTATGGTAAGACAAACCCCCCAAGCGCTATTCTAATCATTCAGGCCCCTAGAGTACAAGCCTTAAGCCCTTAACCCCCTAAACCCTAAACCCGAAACCCTAAACCCCAAAACCCTAAACCCTAAACCCCTAAACCCCTGAACCCTAAACCCTAAACCTTACAAGCCCTAAACACCCCAAAGCCTCTACAACCGCCTCAGCAAAGGAAGCTGGATGCTCAGCTGAAGGCGAACCTGAAGCGTCTCGAGACGCAGAAGAGGGCGGCCTTGGATGCTGAGGTGCGAACTGGAACAGACTATGATATACTGTTATGTCCTCCTACTCCTACTACTACTACTACTAATAATAATAATAATCTAGACTGTCCTAGAATTCATGAAACCGTATCAAAATGTGTTGTAATTTACCGGGATCTATTGGAATGTGCCTATGAGTCTGTAATAGTACAGTACACTGCAATCTACTACAATATGTTCTACTGCATTGCAATGTACGGTAAGGTACTATAGGGCATACGATAGTATACTGAAATATACTGCAACACACTACACTGCAGTGGTCCTCAGTATCAGAGACGGTAATCCTCTCAAGGGGATCGCAGGTTGAGCGCTTCGGGATTTCGGGGTTTTGGCTTTGGGGCCTTGGTGTTCTAGGATTAGATTCCGCCCCAGGCCCTAGTCGAGTCCGGCTGCTGCCCCTCTGCGCAGGATTTCAGCAAGGCCGCTGACATCAAGAAAGAGATGGAGATGTTGCTGACTGCACGGGAGCCTCCGAGATTTTGTCCCAGTCGCTGAACCCTAAGCCGTATTAAGCCCTACTACACCCCATGTCGAATTCGCCATGTACATTTTCCTTTTTGTGGATATCGCTGTGGTCGTGGTTATGAGGGTCAGGGGCAGGTTGCACTCGCGGTGGTGGTGGTGGTGGTGGTGGTGGTGGTGGTGGCAGTGGCCGTGGTGTCTTTGCAGGTTTGGTTTGGTGTTATCAATATAATCTCAATCCTGCTTCGTGCTGCTACATGCTTGTTTCTTCTTGTTCTATTGCTAGTGCCATCACTGCTGTTCTCAATCCATAAACCCAAAGCCCCAGAACCGTACGCCCTTGTCCTAAACCCTGACCCCCCAGGTTGATCGGATCTCGCGGATTGATGGTCTCTGACAGTCACATGTAACATGGCTAATACACTGCTTCTGCATTAGCTCGTTGTTGTCCTTTCCCTTGTTCTGACTACTGTACTGTTCTGTCTTGTCTTGTTTCGATTGTCACTGTTGATGTCAAGCTCGCTATGATTGTTGCTGGAGTAGCATGTGGCATCAAGTACTAGCAAAACCCCCTAAGCCCTAAACCCTCAACCCTAAACCCCAAAACCCTAAACCCTAAACCCCTAAACCCCTAAGCCCTCAACCCTACGCCCGTAGGAGCATGTGGACTTGCACGACCTGCCCTTGGGTTACTCAGCCACGGACATCCCGCTGTCGGAGGAGCGGAGAAGGGGGGCTTCAGGGTTTGGGGCGCTTTGAGGCTTAGAGGAACTTAGAGCCGGGGGGTTTGGGGTCCTGAGGTTTAAGGCTCTTGTGGGGGTTGGAGCTTGTTTGGGGAGGGGTGTCGCAGGTGGCGCATCACAACAAGCCGCACGACTGCTGGATCGCGATCTGCGGCGAGGTGTACGATCTGACAGACTTCCTGCAGCACCACCACGAGCAGCGCAACTCCATCCTAGCCTGGGCCGGCCGCGATGCGACGCCCATCTTCGACAAGATCCCGGGCCGGTTCCCCTCCAAGCAGTGGATGTCGGTCCACATGCGCCCGGAGTTTAAGACCGGCAAGGTGGGCCCGGAGAGGCCGGTAGACCCCGTCATCAAGCAGCTGAGGGACCTGCACGACGAGCTAAGGCGCCTGGAGGGCCCCTCCAAGGAGGACATTGAGGCGGCGAAGACGGCCATGAAGGTGCCGGGCAAGACGGATGCGCCGACCCTGTCGGAGGAGAGCCGCTTCCCCAAGTTGGCGGAGATCTCAGCTGGCAAGGACCTGCCATTCTTCTCCCGTGCCGAGGTTGCTAAGCACAACACAGCGGAGGAGCCGTACATGATCATCCACAACCGCGTCTACAACTTGAAGCCTCTGCTGGGCAGCCACCCCGGCGGCGACGACATCCTGATGTCCAAGGCGGGCACGGATTGCACCAAGGACTTCGAAGTCTTCGAGCATTCGGAGAAGGCCCGAGTGCAGCGAGATCGCGACTTGTTGGTGGGCCAGCTGGTGCCGGCGGAGAACACGGACTGGTCGGAGACGGCAGCAGTGCAGCAGGTGGTCGGTGAGGAGACCTCTGAGATTGGCCGGTACCTGAAGTACAAGATCTCAGACGTGGCAGCTGCGGCTGTGGTCTGGTACCTGTACAAGACCTTCCAGAGCCGCAAGCCTTTGTCGCAGTTCACCTACAGCCGGGCCCTGAGGCACCTGCACCTCATCATGGCCGTGGGCATCTTCGGTGCTGTGGGCACCGCTCAGGCCGCATCCTACTCGGAGGGTCAGGCCAAGAAGCAGATGCTCTGGTGGCACAAGCAGACGGGCATCCTGATGCTGGTGGCGCTTGTCTTCCGTGTGATCTTCCGAATGCAGAGCGGCATCCCACCGCGCTTCCCTGGCCACCCTATCGTGCAGATGATCGAGACACAGAGCCTGCGGGCCTTCTACGCCTTCGCCCTGCTGCTGCCTGTGTCCGGCATCGCCAACGAGTACTTCCTCAAGTGGGCACCGGGCTCCGACAAGACCGGCAACGCAGAGGACGATCGCAGGAACGACCGCCTCGCCAAGCAGTCCATTGATGCCCACAAGGTCCTGGGCAAGGTGCTGCAGTACGCCTGGCTGCCCTTCCACCTGGGCTACACCACCCTCTACCACTACTCCCAGGGCCGGGGGGTCGTCCGCAAGGTCTCTCCATTCATTTGAGATCTCCTTTTTATCTTCCATGTCTCAGTTAGACCTGTAAATGAAGTCTGGCTCCAGCTGCCACTGTGCAGTGCGCCAGGGGGATCTAAGCTCCCGGAATAATTTGCACGCGAGCTTTTTCAACCTGCATGCTGGTCACCTCTATATCCAGGCCGGACCTGTAGAATGAGATGCCAGCTGACATGGGTGTCTGCAGAAATGCACCTGCCTTAGGTCAAAGCAGCCGAGCTATATGGTGTTGAGTGCAGCCATAATACAGTCGATTCCGCTTTTTGCTTTTGCACACCCAGATTTTGAGTGCCCCCAGAAGTGCACCGGTCCAACATGCGTCCTAGAAAGGACGGTATTTGGTCGGCACAGGGGGCACGCCAGTTGTAGGCTGAACTGCGCACAGTGAGCACTCCGTCGCCTTGCAGTTGCCAACAGCTGCAGGATCGGTAGTGCTGATAGCTTAAGAACCCTCAGCCCAAGCGTCCAAAATGTTCTTCCAGCACTGTGTGCAGACGTTCTGATTCGAGATGGTGCCGGAGCTCGCGCTGTCGTTCTCGTCCTCGTCCTCGTCCTCGTCGTGGTCCTCCAGAATCATCCTCATAATGGCTTCGCCTTTCCCACTGCGTTTAGGACGCTCCTGTTAAGGCTTCTGGGGCCAATGCAAAGCCCGCATTTCCTCCTAAACCCTGAGCCCTAAATCCCAAAGGTCGCAAAATCATCTCATCGTTGTTCGCCATCCGGCCTCTCAAACTCAAATCTCTTCTCTGAGCTGCCGTCACTCTCTGATTATCAGGGGTCCGTCGGTTCTCAACATCCTTCTTAGCATGAGGAAGATGGTCATGAAAGCGAGGACGATGATGATGATGATGATGCTGCTGGTGGTGGTGGTGGTGGTGATGGTGGTGGTGGCGGCGGCGGCGGCGGTGGTGAGGGGCTTGGGGGTGCAGGCCTTGCTGTTTGAAACCTTTAGGCAGCAGAAGCGCAAGCATCTTGCAACTATGGGTTTCTGCCCAAGCCATGAAATTCGGGTTTCCGGCGGCTTAGAGGTTTCTGCGGAGATATTCATGGATGCTATGTCTCATGAGGGCTTTTAAGCTTGGTGGGTTCAGGAGGTCGGCTTCTTTGGATGAAGGTTTGGGATTTTGGGGAGGTGGAGTTACGATACCTCCTGCAGGGTTCTGTGGCGGAGAAGACATCTCCCCGAGCTGGGAATTTTTGGGGTTCAGGCTTTAAGGTTTAGGGCCCTACATCTACAGCCTACTACAAACACCAAACCCTGCCGAAACGCAAACCTTAAACTAAAAACCTACCCGGAATAGCAAAAACTTACAACACCAAAAGCATCGCAAGCCCCCTTGCAAATCCCGTAGCCATAGACCCAACCTTTCACCCCCGGTGACATAGCTGCTTTTCAACACTACCTATTAGTCTCCATTGTAGTTCCTTTTTTGTTTAACCCAATCTATATTAAGGATCCTAAAAGGTAACCCCAAAAAGGAACTACAATGGAGACTATAGGTAAACTCTAAACCCCTAGCTTCTGACATCCTGGTCCCCTGAAACCCTGAAACCCTAAACCCTAAAACCCTTTCGGCAGGCGTAACAAGGGGTCAACCCAACTAAAAAGGTCAAACACACCCCCCAAAACCCTAAACCCAAAGCTCTAAAAATCAACCCTCAACTCTAAACCCTAGACCCCCCAAACCCTAAACCCTAAACCCTACTAAACTCTAAACTCTAAACGCCTAAACCCTACTAAACTCCAAAAATCACTGCCCCCCCACCCTAAACCCTAAACCCTAAACTCTATAAGCCCTAAACCCTAAACCCTCTAAGCTCGAAGCAGTCACTTCCCCCCAAACGCAGGTGTCGCAGATGCAGAGCTCCTCCTTGGGGCTCCCCTGGCTCCCGGACCTGCCCGCAACGGAGCTCAGACCACCCCTGTGGCTCCTGAAAGGGCTTAGGGTTTAAGGGTTTAGGGTTGAAGGGGTTTAAGGGTTTAAGGGTTTAGGGTTGAGTTTTTAGAGTTTAGGGCTTAGGGTTTAGGGGTTTAAGGGTTTAAGGGTTTAGGGCTTAAGGGTTTTAGGGGCTTAGGGTTTAGGGTTCAGGGGTTCAGGGTTAAAGGGTTTCTCGTTTGGGTGGGTGGGTGGGTGGGTGGGTGGGGGGTTGGGGGGGGGGGGTTGGGGAAGAAGGGGAAGAACGTCATTCGTACTGCGGCAATGCCCACATCACTGGTATTTACGGCGTTCGCCTCTTCGCACTTCGCACAACATGCTGCGCAAGGATGTGGAGCAAGACACATTTCCACAAACATCCATCCTTTTGGCGACCATGCCGATAACACTGGTATTTACTGCGTCTTTGCCTCTTTGTACAACCTACTGTGCAGGTATGTGGAACAAGACGCGTCGTCACAAACATCCATGCCATTGGCGACCATGCCGAAAACACTGGTATTTATTATTATTATTACTACTACTATTATTACTATTATTATTATTACTACTACTATTACTATTATTATTACAGCGGTGTTTTTTTTAAAAACTCTTTGTGCAACATACCGTGCCAGGGATGTGGAACAAGACGTGTTGTCACAAGCCTGGCCACCCTCTGCACTGCCCTTCTGCTCTATGCATTTTGCTGCGAATCGTGCGCTTTCCCAGGGTTTTGGGCATCATCATGCATGTTGTTCATGCTCTTCTTTTCAGTATGCCCTGTTCTGCTTATTAACATGTCAACATGATTATACATACCAGTGCCGCCATGATGATAATGATGATGGTGGTGATGATGATGATGATGGTTAGTATTATTCATGTATGTTTTGTGTGTTTAATTGTCTCGGCCTGGGGTTTCAGTTTTTGGACTTCTGGCCGGGTTGGGGGCTGCAAGTTTTGTTCGTTCGGCTTCAAGGTTGGATATCGGGGTTTGCTTGCATGTTTTGGGGTTCAGCTTGAACCCCAAACCAGCCCGTCCCGCCCGTCCTCCCCTGCTCGAGCTTTTGCGAGATAGTTCCGTCGGGGCCATTTGCGGATGTGCAAAAAACGATCCTTCAAGAGAAGGTGAATCGGGGTGCAAACTCTACATTTAGGGTTTGGGGTTTGGGTTAGGGTTTAAGATCAAGCCTCCTGGAATGATTCGGTGACTACCGGCAGCAGCCACTTAGAATGAGGACCCCAAATCCCCAACTATTGCGAACCCACCCCCCGGGTCTCCTCCTACATGGGACGAACCTTTACCCCTCCAATCAAAAATGCAGTATTCTTGCAGTTTCTTTGACAACACGCTCACAACAGAACCACGTCCGGCCGCCGTTACAAGGTGCGAGGGGCACGCTGCATGTCGGAAACTTGCCTTTTGTCTTTCTGTCGAGCGGCCGGCACAGTCCGCGAGGACGCACAACCCGACACCAATCCATGTCGGAGAAAGAAGGGTTTTTGTGCCGTAGTTACTAACCCCAAACCCTCACCCAAACCCCAAAACCTTAAAGTCTTAAAGCCTCGAACATTCAAATTCAAATCCCTAAACCTGTATAGTGAAGCCTAAACGGTGTTTGCGCCGAAGGCAGTCAGCGCGATGTTCAATGGTGCAACCCAGGAGGACCGAACTTGAGTGTTAAGGAGGTTTACGTTCATTATTCGACTCGTTCTTACTTTCTCTTTTTTGTGCCCCTATTTTTGTGTGCATTGAGCAGACTACAGTGTCGACTGACGCGTCCCATTTTTACCCCTAGCTTATTATTCGTAGTATGAGTGTGATTGGGCTTCTTGTTACTCTTCGTAGCAGCATTGTTGTTGGGTCGAGGTTCGGGGCTTGGCGACTTTCTCCGGGGACCGGCAGGGTGTTGGTGTTGAGGCCCTAAACCCCAAACCCTAAACCCTAAACCCTGGAGGACTCAGCTTAGGGTGTCAAGGGGTTTAGACCCGGAGCCCTGAACCCTAAAGCCAAACTCGAAGGGCCCATGTACCTAAATACTCTATAATTTGGCCTTAAAGTAGTCCCTATTTGGGTACTTTGGGGCCAAAGCATCTACTATTTGGGTAGATGGACCCTTAGGGAAACCATTCATTATGCAACCCTGGACCCCAACCCCACATCCTGAAGCTTACAGCGCCCCTCCCGCCTCAAGAAGCAGACGCAAACCACCGCGCAAAGCCACAACAGTCTGAAATCGAAAACCCTGACAGAGAATCGGACACCCCCAATCCCAAGCCCTGTAAACCCTTTAGAGCCTGGCCGCTTCACACCCTCCAGCTTGAAACCTCAACCCCACACCGTTAAAACCCTTCAACCCCAGAGCCTTTCAAGCAACTAAAGCTCCAAACCCCTTTCAAGACCGATTTTCAGAAAACCTAGGCCCCTAAAGCAGCAATAAAAGCTCCAAGTCCCACTAAAGGCCTATTTACCGGAAGCACCCGAAGCTCTGAAAGACCGACCCTATCCAAAAGGAGCTTTTTCGGCTGGCCTCGCAGATTGCGGAAGGCCTTGAGATCTGGGATTAGGACTATTTTTCAGAGGTTTTTTTGTGGCGTTTTGGTGGTTTTTTGGGCTTTAGGGTTGGGGCCTTAGGATGTTGTTGAGGGTTTTTGGGGTTTGCTTGGGGGTGGCGTTTGTGGTTAGGTTTTGCGGTGTTCGGACTTCGATCTTGAGGCTTCGAATCGTAAAGTCGAGATTTCGGTGCTTTTTTATAAATATGTGGAGCCAAATCCCCGGTCAAAAGCCATGTAGACCATGTATACATATATACATATATATACACACATACACACACGCATATATATATATGGATATGTCCACATAATCAGTAAAGCATATGCCCTTATCGTCCCTGTTTGGTTTAATAATATCCGAAAGCTATAGTCTCAACATTAAGGCCCCTTGCAGTCGTCGTATAGCGTAGCATACTATAGTGCGGAACGGGGGGGGGCTGCCTGAGATCGTGGGCTGATGGAGTTTCTGTTAAGCCCTTCTTTTTTGCTTAGCTTCCGAGCTTGCAGTTCCCGCAC